TGTGTGTATATCTCTCTTTGTATACGCATATACTTATATACTCTATATGTTTTTTAATTGCATGTTTGATTGCGAATGGCAGGGATTCGGTTTTGTAACATTCGCTAACAGCAACGATGCAGAACGAGCACGCGAACGTCTACACGGCACCGTGGTTGAGGGACGCAAAATCGAGGTGGGTGCATGCAAGCCAAAAATACTATAAACCACTCACACACACACACACACACACACACAAACACACAATACATGGGCAGCTACTATTATCTAGAACTAATTGCAAAACTATCACAACTTTCTTATTCACCACCAAAGAAATACTACAATGAGAGAAGAGGGCAAAGAATTTCGGTTTGAAGAAATTGGCTTTCAAGTCTCGGCCTTTGCGTGTCTACGTGACGTGAAATAGTTTTCACGTGTTTTCCCATTGCAGAGCGAGTTTTATTTTATGGTACCTTGTATTTATTCTCCTTTTATTTTCATTAAATTTGCCGCGCATTGATTGCGCTGTTGGGGCCATGCAAAGTGTATTTAAAATCGGATTCACACACGGTCAGCGGACTTTGATTTCGCATTTTAATCGAATGCTCATTAATTTTTAAATTATGCGCAGCCTTTTTTATTTGCCTTTAATTAAAAATTAATTACTTTTTTGCCCTGCTCATTTCACATTTCRCATCAAGGAATTGATGTCTGTCYGTGCGCAYSGCGCACCCCTCTGCCTCTGTATTTATGTTAAGTGGACGGCCACAAATAATTGGCAGTTAAAATATGCTGAAAAAGCGCAAAGTGCCAACTGTTATTTAAACAATTCAACAGCGACCCACAAGAGGATGGCAATCATTATTTTCAGTTGTATTCTGAAACCAGCAAGCTGCCTAATTATCGAGAGAAAATGCAATCGTGCGGGTGTGAACTGAATATTGAAGGCTGTGAAAGATAGATGGAGCACAAATATTGGAAACGGGATATAGCTGTTAAAATCAAATAGTATTTATTAATTCGCCCTCACAGGTTTAACCACTTACACACACACATACATACACATACACCTCATGCAATTGTAATTGTTAACTAACACCAATTTTTTCCTACGTTCTCTGTACATGCAAAATGCGATTAAACTATAATATAAAAAATCTACATAATGCGTAAACTATATTTAAAAAAAAATCAAACAACTACAAAACTCACCACCAAAACCCACCACGCTCGCTGCAACTCAACTGAACTCAACTCTACTCGTTACTCGAACTCTCTCGTTACCAATAACCATTGTGAAGGTGAATAACGCCACTGCACGTGTACAAACCAAAAAAGTGACAGCAGTACCCAACGGTAAGTTGCTCTAACCCACACACGCACACGTTTATATATACACACGCACACACCACACACACACACATGTATAACACCTATATTGAACTAAGTGTAAGCTATGTAGCGAAACAAGTTTAAATGTTGAACAAAGAAATGCAATTACGGCTGGCCTAGAACAACTATAAGAAATGAGAAGCACGCAAAAGGCAACTTAAATAACAACAGCAACAACAACAATAAAAACTTGAACACAACTGCCATAATATTTGACTGGCCGTTGCCGTTGTTGCGTTTAGTGTTGATATAAATTTCGTTGATTTCGTTTTTTTTTTTTTTTTTTCTAAAATTCGGTTTTACGTTTCTTTTTGTTTATTGTTTTGTTTTGTGTGTTTTTGTGGTTCTCCTTTTGTTCAAGTTGAACTTTTCACATAAAGTTCTGTGGCGGCTGCAAATGCAATGTTAGCAAAACTCAGCGAATGTTTCCTAATGAAAATGTTTGGTCTTGGAAATTTGTTATTGCTTTTGATTTAATTTGAGGAACTTGTTGATAAGATGTATGCCAAGGCGTTAGGCAATCAAAACTTGTTAACTGAATTGCCATACTAACAAACTCTAGCTGCTTTTGCGGTTGCTAACCAAACAGTCTATAGACACACGCCTATATAAACTTA